CCCTCATCTCTGTCCTCACCTCCACCCTCATCTCTGTCCTCACCTCCACCCTCATCTCTGTCCTCACCTCCACCCTCATCTCTGTCCTCACCTCCAACCTCACCGCCATCCTCACTTCCAACCTTACCTCCAGCCAGTCTTTGTTGATCCGACTGAGAAGAAATATCACATCTCCAACTTTGAAATTCAGCTCCAGTTTGCTGTTCCCAGTGAAGTCAAACAGGGCCTGGGGAGAAGGTGGAGTAAGGAGGGAGGGAGGAAACATTCACTGAGTTCCTACTAAAGTGCTTTACATACTTCAGCATCCCATTTAACAGATGAGGAAACTGAGGCTCAGAGAGGATAAGTGACTAGTCTGAGGCCACTCTATTTGTTAGCAGAGGAGCCGGATTTAGAACCCATGTCTCCCTGACTCCAGAATGGTGCTCCTTCCAGGCCTGCCAGTATAAGCATGAGAGGGAAGGGGCCAGACTCCATGGACTGGGCAACTTCCCATCCCCCAGGCCTCACTGGGGACTCTAATGCCCCCATAACCCCTAGGGCATTGACCACACTGGTTTTGAAATGCCCATTTCTAAGGGTGCATCCCTGGGGAGCTGTGTGAGCCCCTTGAGGACAGCGCCTGGTCTGAGTCACCTCTGAAGCTTCAGTCCCCAAGGCAGGGCTGACCCAGAAGAGCTTGCTGAATGAATGATGGATGGGTGGATTCCCCTTTGCCTCTGTGTGCTCCTCACATGCCCTCCCCTCAGCTGGCTGGGAGTCCTCAGGCATCCAAGGCCACGGTTGTGGGTCCTTCCACCCCCCCAATACCCAGCCGCATCCTGGGCACACAGCGGGCGCCAGCAGGACGGGCTCAGTGGCTGAAGGGTGGAGCTAGGCTGCTGCCCAGTGGTGAGGTACCTCCGCTCGTGGAGCTGCCATGCGGTCAAAGCCGGCGCCTTGTGGGGACGTGCTCTTTCTGCGGAGAGAGAAGAGGGGCTTGTCACCTCTCCTGCTTCTGTGCCCGGAGGAGACCCTCAGCAGAGGCAGGAAAGGCAGGGGAGGGAGAGGGTGTTAAAGATGCAGCTACAATTGCTCCTCTGGACCAGCACACTCCCCACAGCTTTCACCGCCCTGGAGGAGGGATTGCATCCCTTCTGTGGACCAGGAGGCATAGGCTCAGATATACATTTGCTTAGTGCCATAGCTTGCCAGCCCTTTCACATTACTCCCACACTCAACCCCTAATTTTTCAGCTGAGGAACTGGGCTTCAAGAAGTGCTGAGCTCCACTCCAGGACACAGGGCTGCTGTGGGGCACAGCTGGAATTCAGAGCACACCTGCTTGGGTGCACAGGGGAGATGGCCAGGCACCACACAGAGAGGACACTCAGAGATACTGGCCAGAGGGGGGACGGAGGAGTTGTGTAGGAGGGCGGGGCTCAGGAGCCCTGTCCTGGAATTCTTAGCAGCAGCAACCTCTTGTTTGGAGGCCCAGCCCTATTTCAGTGGCTTGGATTTTTGAAGACTTTTTCCAGCTTAGGAGGGGCTGGAGGGAGCTGCGGGCCCTTTGGAATAAGGGAGTGAGTAGCAGCACCCCCTGGGGACCAGTGTGATACACCAAGGAGCCACAGCTGGCCCCATGGTACAAAAACTAACCAGGGACAAGGCATCCCAGGAGATGCTGGGAGGAGTGTTTGCAGACAGAATGATTCCTCCTGCCTTCCCTCCTCCCTACTCCCCCCAGGCACCCAAAGCCCTCGGACCATCCCCAGTGGCTGCTGAGGCACCAAGCTCTCCCCCGTCAATGGCCCAGCCCCTGTCCTCCAGCCCTTACTGTCAAACACACTTTCTGTCCTCTAGGCCCTACGCTTGATTTCCCAAGCTCACCTAACAAGCCAAACCACCCTGGAGTGCTTAGGTAGAGACCTGGTCTCTACTCCTTGCTTCTTTCAGGGAAAATAAGTGCCTTTACAGCAGAGGCCTCTGGGACAGAGCGCCTGGTTAGGAGCAAGTGGCCCAGGGTTCTAGCTGATGGGGGCGCAGGGACCGGTCACTTACACTTTCCGGGTGCGCGGGCGGAGCCGTCGGAGAGCCTGGGGCACCTGCTCCGCGTCATAGGACGACTGGTAGAAGAAGATCCGGACGTCCTCATCCATCAGCACCCAGATGGGCAGGCTGAGGAGGTGCTGCGTTTGGGGAGCATGCAGGACAGGTGGGGTGGTCAGCAGAAAGCTCTCGACATCGCAGCCCAGCTGCTCCATCCCCGTCCCCCATGCTGGGGCCGCCTCTCTCCACTAATGGAGATATGCCTGATAACAAGTAAGACATATTTTAAAATCTCAGTAGGCTGAGGGTAACATGTCACAAGATTTGCCCCTGGGTTCAAGGTCAGGAGGGGGCCAACTTGCTTGAGAACAGTTCATTTGGAAAAGACCCAAAGGCCTTCAGACATGACGATAATGGTGACGACAGGTAACGTGATGTGGTGGTGACTGTCCAGGCACTGCACTGAGTGCCCCACGGTGTGACCTCGCTCCATCTAACAATAACCTGGGAGTGAGGGCCAGAAAGGTGAAGGGACCTGCCCAGGGCCACACAGCCTAGCGAGTGACACCCAGAGACATCTGCCACCAAGGCTCATCCCTTAGATCAAAAGGAGACAATGGTGGGGGAAGTATTCCCCAAATAACCCAAATTAACAACAGTTAGTGGAATTACAGCCTAAAAACATGCTTCCTGATACTTCATCTCATATCACAGTTGGGGAAACTGAGGCTCAGAGTGAGAAAATGCCCGGGCCGGTGAGCACAGCTAGGAAGTGGTGGGGTCGGGACTCTCAATCAGATGCTGGTTACACCCACCACAATGCAACGACCCTCAGGCTGTGAGGATGCAGAGCGCCCAGGACCTGCCAGGGTCATCCCCCCAAGCTGCCCACTGCACGGGTCCCCAGGAGCACTGTGATTGGCTTTGAGCGCTACAGCTCCAGAGGCACCCAGACCCCCTCAGAGAATTCCACGGGGGCAGCAGCACGGGGAGGGGCCGGGAACTCCTCTCCAGAGGAACTGGGAACGCAGAGCCTGGAAAAGACACGGCTGTCCTATAGGGAGGGCAGGGGGCCAGCCCAGAGATGGGCTCAAGGGTATAGAGAGAGCCAGGCGATGCCCGGGGTAGCATTCCAGCTCTGCCGCCCATCTGGGTGACCTGGAGCAGGGGTGCCTCTGTATGTTCATTAATACAATGGAGGTGATATTATTTCCCCTGTGGAATTGTGTAAAGATTAAATAAGTGAATACGTGCAGAACACTTAGAACAGCATCGGGCATCTAGCAAGGGCCCTATCCAAGCTGGGTATTATCATTGTTGCTGTTACTTTTATTACAATACAGCACAGTGGGTGAGAGCACAACCCTGGAGTCACAGAGATGTGGGTTCAAATCCCATCCTACCACATATATACACTACCAGACGTAAGGTCGATACCCAGTGGGAAGCAGCCGCATAGCACAGGGAGATCAGCTCGGTGCTTTTTGACCACCTAGACGGGTGGGATAGGGAGGGTGGGAGGGAGACGCAAGAGGCAGGAGATATGGGGAGATATGTATATGTATAGCTGATTCACTTTGTTATAAAGTAGAAACTAACACACCATTGTAAAGCAATTATACTCCAATAAAGATATTTTAAATTTTTTTATTTATTTATTTTTATTTTTGGATGAGTTGGATCTTTGTTGCTGCGCGCGGGCTTTCTCTAGCTGTGGCAGGCGGGGGCTACTCTTCGTTGCGGTGCGCGGACTTCTCATTGCGGTGGTTTCTCTTGTTGCGGAGCACAGGATCTAGGCGCGTGGGCTCAGTAGTTGTGGCGCAAGGGCTTCGTTGCTCCGTGGCATGTGGGATCTTCCTGGACCAGGTCTCGAATCCGTGTCCCGTGCACGGGCAGGCGGATTCTTCACCTCTGCACCACCAGGGAAGTCCCTAAAGGTGTATTTTTAATGTTAAGTTTTCTGGCCCTTTTATGATCCAGCCCCTCAGATTTAGAGGGACTTAGAGGACACACAGGAAGTGCCATTTTTGATGCAGCAGGATCACCACCTGGGGCCGTGCCAGTAGGATCCTCATCCATTTAACCCCCAGTGCTGTCCAAGCTTTCATGGACTTTTCCTCTCAACAAGCTCTACCCCCCTCTTCTTTCCAGAACTAGCACGGACCCTGGTACCAGCTCAGTGGAAACACACAGTGCTTACAATGATTGGAATGATTAAGGAAGAAAATGAACAGCTATCGTGAAGTCCTAGCCAGGTAACAATAACTAAACTCTAGAAGCTTTACTTCCTACTGGTCACAAGCACAGTTTCTTTCTCCAGGAGCCAAAGCATTTCCCGTGAGAGCCTCCACCATGTTCGTTCCTGGTTTCCTACGAGGTCTTTTACCTACAATGCCTTATTATCGATACCCGTCTTATTATGTGCCTCAAGCAGTTTATTAAAATTCTGTCTCTTCTTTAGATATTTCTTTCTTCTCTTCTGGCTCTAAGAAGGAAGACTCCTTCAGCTCTGCCTTAAGAAATGCACTCTTCTTTACCGACCACATTGAAGTATTTTGAGTGACATATTTACATTGAATAATGTGTGTCTCTTACCTACCCAGAAGCCTCTGCTTTCCACCGCAGCTTTTCACCTTTAGAAGGCAGGACCATACCTTAAGTCAATTTTTAATCAATATAATTGGCAATAATGAGGAACCATGATGACGGGGACTTAAAGAATCTTAGAATGCCAAAGAACCACAGACCTAGCGCAATTCAAATCTTCTTCCAAAATGAGAATCCACTTTGCACCATCTTGGCCACTGTGTCCTTCTCTGTGTCCTGGGGAAGCCCATCCCATGGCTAGAGAGCTGAATTCTAAGAAAATAATTGATAGTTATTAGAAATAACTAATAATTACTGGAAACAGAATCATTATTAGAAATAAAATTTCTATTCCTAGAAATAATCATGGGAGACCCCACAGGCCAGGCAGAGGTTTCGTTTAACCTTCCAAGTAACGGGCAAACCATTCATCATTCTGTCTCTCATCAAGTGCCCCAAAGCACCGGTGCCGAGACATTTTGACCCCATTAGGCGTCAGATCAGAGCTTCTCAGCAGATCAATGCTACAGTTTTTCGGGTGAATAATTCCAGGGCTGGAGAACTGCATCTTCTTCCTAGGCACCCTGCACGGGACCAGCCCCAGGACAGTTCTCTAACCCACACCCCATCAGTGCCTGTTTCCACGCTTGGCAGACCAGCTGCTGAGGTTCCCCCCGTGTTTCGGGCGCTCAGAAAAACCACAATTCCTGTGCACTGAGTCTTGACGAAAGCCTTGAAGTTGTGCTTGCCGTGATCAGCAATGATTTTCTTCAGCTACAGGAAGCCTGCAGTCATGGATGTGAATCATCACCTCCTCTCTGACTTTGAAACTGTTCCTAACACAAGGGCCAAGTCATGACGGATCCGAGGACGATGGACTTAATTTCTCCTTCCCAGAAATGCTTTCAGAGGATAGATGCTCATTCAGCCAAGAAGAAGGGCACGGGGAGTGATGTCAACCCTTGAGTCCTATCGGTCACAATTGCTTCAACGACACTCTCCTTTTTGCAAGGGGATGACACACTTCTGTAATCAACTTCAGCTCAGCTGCCCGAATCACGTGGGTGTGATTCACACAGCAACAGAGACAATGGACTCTGGGGAAATTATGTTTGACAGAATTGGGATTTAAATGCAGCCGCCCCGCTATGCTGCTTCCTCAGTATTTCCTGTCCCGCGTCAGACAGGTGAAACTATTAGCTGAATCATAAACTGTGTCCTGAAAGCAAAGACCGTTCTTCGTAGGTAGAAAAAGTGAAGCAGGACATTACTTTAAGAGTGCAACTTTAATGTTGTTTTATTTCCATGTTCATCTTTCTGGCCAGATGCATGAACATTCTTAAAGGCAATGAATTGATTTTTGCTCTGAGAGCAATTTGAAACATCTTTTAGGGAATGGTAATCTGGTAATCTATAGCACTGTATTGTCTCAATAAACACTATCTAGTGAATGATAAAATGGTTTAGTACAAAGAAGTAATATAAAATTTAACACCCCAGACTCAGATTGGTGTGTGTGTGTGTGTGTGTGTGGACAGGGGGCGGGGGTATGGGCGTGTCCACAATGTCTCATCCCATTGACTTGATTCACTACAAAGTCCTCAGACTTGAAACACAATTGCAAGCCAGCAAGCCAGGAGAAAATAACTTGGAACGTGTACCCTGTTTATCATATTGATTTAACTAAGGAAAACAACCCCCCAATCTAATTACTCTGTGCCTTCCCACACTCCTTCTGCAGTTTTTCATTTACTCATGAAAACTGGTATTTTGAGAATGATTCCTTAGGGTTATATCTTTCTTATACTAAGAAAGAAAAGATTTGTCACTAAAAATCCAAAAAAAAAAAAGTCTACTACGCATCTAAACAATAATCCCTTACTAAACATATGAAAGGACCATACCAAAGTATTAAAATGAATGTAAAATTAATAACTACTGTAGAAGTTAGTCAACTGTATCCACGACCTATTCTGGGAAAACTTGAATACATGATCCTTGTCAATTAAGAGATCGACATACACATGAAAGGATGCTGTACCAAATAGAAATGGAAGGACCGAAGGAAACCTTGGTCGGCGTAGGTGGTAAAACCCACGGTTGGCTGTCCCAGGGGAATGGTGAGAAACCTAGAAAGCCTCACTGTTGTGTGGGAGAGTGCTGTGTTATCTCGCCTCAGGTAACCATATCAACAAGTGTTTCCAAATCCCTGCTGTTATTTGTGTCACCATCCACGTACTGTCTGTCACTGTCACTGCCACATAGGAGGAAAGGTAAGTGGAGGAAAAGAAAACTTTGCCAGAAGGGAAGGGTTTTGAAGAGGACACATGGCTGGGGAGTGGCCTTGCGAAGAAGACAGGATGTGTGCAGGGTTGTACCGACACGTGACAAGAGGGACAGTTTTAATCCCTATGGCAACCAGCAGCTATAGCTGCGAGAAACGAGGAGTAAGAGAAACCTACACGTGAAGTCCAAAATTGAGTTGTAGCCTCAGTGCTATGCTTGTAACTGATAATCTTGCTCAGATTATCAAACTAAATATTTCTGAACCTCAGTTTCCATCTCTAAAATTAGAACACATCTCAAAGGAATATGACAAGGAGCACATCAAACACTGTTGGTTGAAAACCCTTAGAAAAGTGTAAAACTGAACACCAATATGAGGCACAAATTTTTTATGTCCCACATACCAAAGGGACATAAAATGATTTTTACTTAGCTCTATGTAAAATAGGTATTTATAGAAAGCCAGCTGTAGGAAAGCCAATACCTGAGACAACAGATCATTACAATTCAAACATGATAAGGTTTCAAATATATAAAGAGCTCTCACAAACCAGTAAAAGAAAATTCACTTACATTATGGAAAATAAGCAAAGGTATAGATAGTTAACAGATAATGATACGTAAATGTAGCTTGAACACGTGGACGGATTCTCAGATTATCACGCTAAGTAAAATAAGTCAGACAGAGAGAGAGAAATGTGATATCACTTGTATGGGGAATCTAAAAAAAAATGATACAAATGAACTTATTTACAAATAGAGACAGACTCACAGACATAGAAGACAAACATATGGTTACCAAAGGGGATAGCATGGGGCAGGGATAAACTAGGAGTTTGGGATTAGCAGATACAAACGACTCTATGTAAAACAGAAAACCAACAAGGACCTACTGTGTAGCCCAGGGAACTCTATTCAATATCCTGTAATAACCTATAAGGGGAAATAATCTGGAAAACCATATATATATATATATATACACACACACACACACACACACACACACACACACACACACACAAATATTCTGAATCAGTTTGCTGTAACCTGAAACTAATACAACACTGTAAATCAACTATACTTCAATAAAAACTTGTTTGTTTTGAAAAAAATATTATTATTGTTCTATTGGATAGACCAGGGGTTGGTAACTATAGTCCACAACCCAAATACGGCTTGCCACCTGCTTTTGTAAATAAAGATATATTTGAACAGAGGCATATGTGTTCACTGACAAGTCATCTATGATGTTATCACACCATAATGGCAGGGTAGTTATGACGGGAACCATATAGCTCACATGTCTAAAATATTTACTATATGGCCTTTTACCTAAAGTATGCTGACCTGCTATGGACACAAATTACATGTTTTATAATGCTCCCTTGGCAAGAACTTGGTTGAGATGTATTTTCATAGACCATGGTTAGAAGCTACATTGGTTAAACCTCTTAAATTCAATATTCCAGTATCTGTATAAATTTAAAATAGATACGAAATCCAAATCCTACTCAAAGATGCATGAATTCTGTTTCTATTGCACCATGATTTAGAGCACCA